GGCCTGCCGCCCTCCACAGCTCCTCCAGCGTCCAGGAGCCCTCCTTGGGAAAGGCAGCAGGTCTGAGTCGGGGGAAAAAAACGGACTTAAATTGTCCGCTAACCGTGTTCCCTGCTTTGAGACGCTGAGGGGGATTTGTTTCCCCAAGAGCAAACAGGCTGTGACCCCTCCTGGGCACACCCGAGATCTTGGGAAGTGCTGTGTCCTGCCTGCCGCCAGTGCAGACACAGCTGCCTTCCCCTGCCAGCTCCTGTTGCTCCTGGAACACCGAGTGCTGCATCACCCAGCAAGTCCTGAGTGGGAGTCCCCAAAGTCTCAGGGCTGCTGTAGCTCCAGATTGATGCCAAAGAGGAAGAGGCAGCTCTGTTCCCTGCCACTCCTGTCTTCATAGTGGGTGAGGTTGTGCCACAGAAAAGGTGCCAGGGTTTGGATCCTGTGCTGCTCCTGCCAGTGTCTGGGAACAGGGTTACAGGAGTGCTCATTGTGCTTGCCTTGCCCTCCCTCAGCACCTCAGCAGGACCTGCATTTCCTCATCATGGGAGGGAGCTAAGCAAGCAGCCAGGACCACTCTGGCCCAAGGCAAGAGGCATTTGGAGGAGAAGGTGGCTCTTTGCAAGAAGGAATCCCAGGGAAAGCAGGGAAGAAGAGCCTCAGTCAGGGTTGGGCTCAGGCTCAGTGGTGCTGCCAGGGTGAGCTGATCCCAGAGCTCAGAGCCACCAGCCCCCACAGGCTGCCCCATCCCCTTGGATGGGGTCTTTGCCCCTGGTTTCTCTCCCTGGGCTGGTGCCAATGAGCCTCTTTTCCCTCTTGGACTGGGGCTACAGTGCCACCATAGCAGAGGCTCTTGACAGGAAGGACACTGACACTGCTTCTCTGTCCCCACAGGAGATCATCGATCTGACCTGTGAGGACACGAGCACAGACCCAGTGCAGTTGAGCGTGACTGAGGACGCCTGCATCCTTCTACACTGCACCTGCAGTGCTGACCAGGACCCCAGGACTGCGCCTGCTGCCCCAGCAGCACACACGTCCCATCCCCAGCTCTGCTCCACCGTGAAGGAAGAAATGGAGGCAGTGGCAGAGCCAAACCCTGCACCATCCTGGCACAGCACTCCCATGAAGCCTAGTGCCACCACGGACACAGCAGAAAGCATGGAGAACAGGAGCTGCCTCTCTCCTGCCTCCAGCTGCCACAGCTCCTGCAGCTCGGAGCAGGACTGCAGTGCTACCAGCTTTAATAGTGACCTGAGTTCCCTGCCCAGCATGCAGCAGGACTCAGCACCCCCCAGCCTGGACAGCAATAGCAGCTGGAAAGCTGATGGCCCAGAGGAAGAGCCTCCCCACCTCTGCCAGGAAAGGGACCTTCCCCCAAGGCTGAGCCCTGCCCCAACCCTTCCCACGACCCCAGGGAAGGCCCGAGGGTCTTTGCTGGAAACAAATGACATACCACACGAACCAACCCAGCAAGCGACCCCAGCCAGGAGCGATGGTGACAGCAAGGCCTGGCTGGACAAACTGCACAGTTTCAGGAGGAGTGGAGTCCAGCACCTCTTCTTCCAAGGCATAGCACCCAACAGGGAAACACAGCAGGTAAACAGGGTTTAGAGCAGCCACTGCCAAGCCCAGCTAGAGGCTGCTCAGAGCAGCCCCTGTGGTGGAGGATGTAGCAAGGGCAGGCCCTGCTCCCTTTGCCCTTTGTGGGAAGCTTTGCCAGGCAGCTGGGGGCTCTGGTTATTGCAGTTCCCTTCACAGTGGGCTGCATATCACAGCTGGGTTCCTCTGTGTTGGGGGAGCTGGCTTTGACCTGTTGCCTTGCCTTCTACACAGCAAAAACCTGAGCTCATCCCCAGAGGGAAGCTGAGCATGGTGCGCACCACCATGGAGGAGAACTTCTTGGAGGGCACCTTGCATCTCCTGAATGAGTTCGTCTCCTGCCAGCACTATCCCCCCAAAGATATCATCTCCCACCTGATCAGACAGGTCCTGTTGAATGCCCATGAAGAGGAGATCTTGAAGGACACCTACATGCTGCTGATGAAGATCCAAATGTAGGTGTTCCCCTTGTCCCGGTGCCCCCGGGGCTGCTCCCAGGGGTCTGCCCAGCATACAGGGGCTCACTCATAGGAGTGATTTCCCATATAACCCGGGATGATCCTCTTGCCACCGCCAGCACTCCCCAGGCTTTCTGAGGGTGGGACAGGGGCAGCCCATGACACCAGAGAGCTCTCAGGGACAGAGAAGCATGTTTGGCTTGCCCTAAAGTGCAGATCTCCTTCTTCACTCCTGTGACATGGCAGAAGTGCCTTCCCTGGGCTGCAGCAGTGCCGTGGGCTGTCAGTGCCTGGAGCAGCTCCCTCACTTCCCTCAGGGGTTCCCACAGAAAGAAACAATGTTTTGTGAGGCCATAGGCCTAGGAGTCCTGGGCATTTCCATGGAGTACAGCCCCAGCCAGGTGCTTTCCAAAAATTAATGGGGTCAGGGGAGGAGAAAGGCTGAGAGCAAAAATGGAGAGGAGAAGGCAGGTCAAGCCCCTGAGCAAGTGAGGCTGGGGAGGGCTGGGGAAGGGCCAGGGGGTGCCGTGCCTCCAGCAAGATGGCCAGGCAGTTCAGCACAAATGGACAGGGCTGTCCTTGCAGGCTCCATCCAGCCAACGCTGCCACAGTGGGATGGGACTGGACGCTGCTGAAATTCATCATGGAGGACCAGGTACTTGGCACCGTGTGTGTCACATCGGGCAGGGATCATCCAGGACACAGTGCTTGAGGGTAAGCATTGCCCAAGGACCTCATGTGGCAGAGAACAGGCCAGTCCAATGTGCAGGTTTATTGCAGCTGCTGAGGGCAGCAAGTGCCAGTTGGGTATCTCATATTTATCCTCAGTGCTCCCTGACCCACTGCACAGCTGCAGGCAGGTTGTCCCATTGAAGAAGGTACAGCAACAGATAAAGACTCTGGGTCACAGCGCTAGCGCAGTGGTAGAACAGGTCCTGCAATGCCCATAAGGGCATTGCCTGAGCCTAGCAGCCCATCCTGGAGCTGTTCCTCAGTCATGTACGTCAGTCCATTCCTAAGACAGCCAAATTCCCTGGTGCTCCTCACCCAGTGGCTCCCTCAGGCTCATACGCTCTCCATGTGCCCTCAGGAGAAGCCCCCTGGCCGGCTCCTCTTCCTGCAGTACGTGGTGCAGACCCTGGAGGACGACTTGCAGAAGAATCTGAGGTTGCACCTGCTGCAGAAGTCAATTGCCAAGAAAGTGCTTTCGTGTGACATGTGCTTCAGCAATGTCAAGTAAGGGACACCTCCTTCTCCCTGTTCTCTAACCACAAACTGAGGCAGGGGCTCAGGGAACACTTGTCGAGACTCCAGGTCAGACTTTCAGATTTTACAAGAAGCAAACTTGGGAGACAGAGGGAAGTGTAGGGCCAAATATAAAGGAGATTTACAAAAGCAAACCACCGGAGAGGATGCAAGGCATTTGCAGCTGCAACCTAGCAGGCTTTTCCCAGGAATGAGGTCAGATTTGCATTGCTCAGGACAGGATTAAGGAGGCTGCAGTCCTGTGGACAAGTGTACAAATCAAGAGAGCTTTTCTGTTGAGCTGCTCTACAGAGCTACTCTAAGTGAGTGGGACATACTCGTCATTGTCAGGATCTTTCCTCAAGCTCCAAGTGGATCCAGAGGTCAGAACACAGCAAAATCATGCCCATCCCCACTAAAGTTCCTGTTTCTGTCCTAGGGAAGTGGTCAAATGGTTGGTCGCAGCTATTACAGGAGTCGGGTTCTGCCAGCCCCAGGAGAAGCCACAAGAAACTCCCTCCTCTTCAGCAGAAGCCAGGGCTGAACACAGCTCATCTGCACCAAGTCTAGCCAGCACACAGGCTCCAGCAGCTTTCTTTGCCCAAAAGTAAGCCCCAAAAGTGCTAACTCCTTACTGGTATTATCATGGGCCCAAGTCAAGGAGAAGCCAGAGCCTCTCACTCCCTGTCAGGTCAGGGAAGCCAGGCTGTACCTGTGACCAGCTTTGCTGGTTCTCCTTCGGGTTAGACATAGACTTGGTGAGCAAAAGACTGTCACCTGATAGGAGACTGGCTCAGTAAGTATCATCCTCTTGCACATAGTGTAAGGCTGGAGCTCTTGAGCTACAGCTCAGGCTACCCCGTGCTGCTCCACCAACACTCAGTACAGCCCAAGACCTCCCAAGGATCAATCTGGGGATTAGCTCTGCTTGCAAGAGCATCAGACTCAAAAGCCACCAAGAGACACCAAATCTAGCCCACTGCATTCCCGTGTCCCTTGCTGCACAGCACGAGGCTGAACTAGGGGCCATCCCCAATGCTTTACTTGGCAAGCCAAGGAGCAGCTTGTCCAAGTGCTGACTGTCTCTCTGACACAGGGTGATGCTCCTGCTCCAGCGGATGTTGTCCATCGCAGTGGAAGTGGACAGATCTCCCACCTGCAGCTCCCATAAGATTGCAGATGAGATATTCCCATTTATACTGAATATCCCCCTGAGGAGCCAAAGGTGAGACAAGCACATGCAAGGCAGCATTTGCCTGTGTGAGCAATGGTCTTATTCCCAATTTACATGAGTCCGGATGCACAAAGTACTACAGGGTACAGAAAGACAGGCCAGCCAGCAAGAGCATGGCTATATCTCCCATGGAGATACAAAATCACTAGCTGAACACATCTACCCTGGCGGTGTGTTGCTGAAAACAGTCAATTTCTCACATATTAAAGTTGTGTGACCTTAAAAATGTAAAGAGGGTCTGAAAAGCAGCACTGTGCATCAGCACAGTCAAGTACTGGCAAACACATCACTGATTCTCCTGGGCAACCAGGTAGCTTGTCAGAAATATGATGCAGTTCCTACAGCTTTGCCTTGACATCCTTTTGTTTGCTTCTCTAAGAAATGCAGTATCTGAAGCCAAAGCACAAGGGCCTGACTGGTTCTGGTGTAAACACAAGACCACTGGATCCACAGGCATTTCAAACCCACCCTTGCAATGCCCAGCAGGCAGCCCTTCACACCCCTTCAGCAGAACTCTGTGCACACACCAGGTCTAATCAAGCCAAACCGAGTCTAACCAAGCTGTCACTTGGCCCAGGACAGATGTAGATCCGGCTGGCCCTGACCCCACATCACCCTTCCTTGGCTGTGCTCCCTGCAAGTCAGCAGGAATGGGTCACTGCCACACAGGCTGCTGGGCAGGGTGAAGTGAAGCAGCTCAGTTTGCATCACAGACTGTACTGACCTCCAGCTGCCACAGGTCACACCTGAGGACGAAAACACAGCCATGGCCAAGTCACATAACAAAGGTCTCTCACCACATCTGGTGGTCTTCCTTCCAAGGCACAGCTGAGCAGCCCCTGCAGTCACCCCACTGGGTCAGCACCAGCAGCACACCAGGAACATGCTGGAGCAGTCGTCTCTGGTCAAGCTGTGCTGTCTCTCCCAAAGTAAATCCCTTTTGTCTTCCAGGGAAGTGTTATTAAACACCATGGAGAGCCAGCTCCTGCGCTGCAGACTGCTAGAGCTGTTGTTCCAGCACAGTTCTGATGTGCCCTCAACCTCATCTATGTCTCTGGAGAAAATCCTGTATTTCCTGAGCCACTTCTCTGTGCTGCTGCATTTTGAGGTATCCAGTCCAACTTCTCCTTTGCCTTGTTTTCTTCTGAGAAAACTTCTAATAATCAAATACTGTCTCCTGTCATAGGATGAAACAGCAACGTGGCAAAGGTGGGATGAGATGCTGCAGTACTTGAGTTTGCTGCTGATGAGTTACCGAAGTGTAATACAGGGTAAGCAGCTTGTTCTGGCCTCATCAAGAGGCTGCAGTAGAACTGCCAAATTCCCTTCCCCTCCTTTCTCATCACTCTTGAGCTCACAGCCACTGAGTCAGACAATGTGCCTCTGTCCATGCTAGTAACTATTCCCAGCAGTCAAAGAAGTGATGTTGCATCAGTCAGAGCACCCAACTTACTTTGCCAAGTTTAGCCCCTACAAGCCCTTCACTATCCTCACAGCCTCCTTTGGATGCTCTCTTTGGTAAACCCAGGACACTTTCAGCACTTAGTAAACTGGGCAGGGAGCACCACCCACAGTAGCCATGGAAAGAACAGCATTTCTGATCCCAGGAGAATGGAAGAGTCACAAAACACTCCCTAAAACTCCCCAAAGTAATTTTACCAGAAAATTCTTCAAGTCCCTTCTCAACTTCAGCTGCTTTAGCCCAGGGTTAAGGCTCTCATGAAAGAATGCAGAGGAATCCACCATCACATGTGCAGTCTTACTCTCCCTGAAGCCCTAGGCAATGTTACTGTTGTTGAGCTCTTTGGAGACTCCTTTGCAGCTGCCCATTCTGCCACTCACACAGGAGAAAAGGATTCTACAAGCCTTGCCCCTTCCCCATTTCTTGGGCTCTCTCCACATGCAGACTGAGCTCCAGGAGGGGCCAGTTCCTTCTTCCCTCAGTCTTGTACAGAAGCATCAGGGATAACCGCAAGAGGATGAGCCCCATTCCCAACTGCTGCACACTCGGCACAGCGCTGGCTCTGGCATGCTGTGCTCTGGTGTGTGCTGCCTCTCTCCACCAGCATTTCCTCTTGCAGAGCACCTGCGGAGCTCCCTCAGTGACCGGATGGACTTGATGGTTCAGAAAGCCAAGCCCAGGCTCCAGGAGAGTGACAGCATCACCAACCTGGACGTTCAGGTGAAGATTGAGGACTTCATCAGCCGAATGCAGAGGGTCCTAGGGCAGCCTTTTCCTCCACAAATCCAGGAGAAATTGTTCCTGCTGCAAGAGTTGTTCTCTATTGTCACTACTGCCTGATGGAGACAACCACTGCAGCAAGGGGGACAAAGAATTTCAAGTTCCCCCCAAAAAAAAACAAACTCAAAACCCCCATCTCATGCTGCAGTCTCAATGTCATGGGGGTTGGTTTATACAGTTCTTTAGAAAAATAGTTGGTTTACATCGTCTCAGAATTTCTGTTCAAATTTGCATCGTTTATCAGGCACGTTGTACACTTTAAAAAAATAAATTATTTTTATATTTGCTGAGACTCTTTCATCTTGGTGCCAGCCCTGCCTAGAGGAAGTGCAGACCTCCATCAGTCATACCTTGGGATAGCATTAGACTAATGCAGCCATAAACTCTGACAGTAGTTTGCGCAGCAAGCAAAATGCCCAAATATCTGGTCAATTATTAGGGGAAAGATGATAATCTTTAAAAATCTCAACAGGTGTGAGGGGCAGTGAGGACATTCATAGTGCAGAGATCCCAAAGACATGGTAGTCGGTTCTCAGTAGAGGAACATTTCTGCTCCAGTGCAAATCAATCTGTATAACTTGGCCAAAAGTGATTAGGAAGAGGGTGGGCTGGATGGCAGCATGAGCTGAAAAAACTGCTCCCTCCAGAACCACTCTAGTGCAGGCATGGGCATTATGATCAGGATGAATATTGAATTCAATTGAATTCAAATCCACAGCCATCAACAAAAACCACAGGTGAGGTCAGAGAACAATTAGGTGTTTCTATAGATCTCAGTTCAGAAGCAACAGAGGTTGGGAGTGGGAGCTGCCCACCACACTTGGCAGGGTCCTAATGCAGAGACCAGAGTAGGAGCATTAAGAAGTAGTCACAGCTGGGAACACACTAGTCCTGATATCAGTGGTCTCATGCAGAAGCCTGGCTTCAGTTAGTGCAGAACTGGTCACAAGGGTCTGACCCGGGTTTCACAAGTTTGCTTCTTGTTCTTTAGGAAGCCTCTTGCCAACTGCCAGGTGTAAAATAAACCACTCATTCACACGACACTGCACCCCTAATCCAGAGGTAAGCCATTCAGGGAAAAGTGAAGACTGCCAACAGTGCAAACCCAAGTGCTCCATGCTCTGGAAAGCTGCTCTTCCTGCACATATGCTCATTCAGGTGTATTTTTCAATTAGGTCCTTTTAACTGGATTAGACTTCTGTCACTAGACTAGAAAAGAAACTGCATTCCAGCAAGTCCATAGCTATGGATGTTATTTTATATTTATGATGGTGGCATCCCTAAGAATGATGGAGTAGAGTAAGTATCACATCACAAGGCCATGCTTTAACCCCAGCCTTCCCAAACTAATTGAGATTGGCCTGTGTAACCAGGACCACAGCAGCAGACTCTACCTCAGCACCTGGGTGCTCCAGGATCTATTCCATTACTCTGCCAACACCCTGGGAGCACAGGGAACACCAGTGTTCAGCTCAGACATCCCCAACCCAGGAGAGCCATGTGCTCCATCAGCAGTGCTTTGAAGGGCAGCTACAAATGCTACAACAGCACCCAAACCCCAGCCTTCCAGAGGAAGGCAAAGCAGGGATGGACACACTGGGAGCTGGGCATCTCTAGGGAAATACACCTCCACGGTATAGGTGCAAACACAGCACACAGGCAACAAGAGACAATCTCAGGAACAAGAAGAATCTGAATAGCCCAAGAAAACACAAAGACTTCATGTTCAGTTTCCCCTGCCCTAGGACAGAACTGAGTATGGCTTTAAACCTGATCTTCCTGTCAAAGGGGAGTTTGTGAGCAAACATTTACCCTAGTGAGGTGCTGTCAGAGCCTTATTTGGCAGAACCTTGACCCCACATTTCTCCCACGGATGCTCTGCCAGCACCAACACACATCACGGACCTCCATTCACAAGGATTTTATTTTCCTGTAACAAACAAAACAAACATACACATTAGGAGGCATGAATACAGATAACAAATAAATTAATGTCAAATGAGAGCTTGATTGCCAAGGTGCAAATGAGTGGTGACGGTGAGAACTGCTGGGTTAGGTTGGGGACTTTCACACAACACATCACTGGCAGTGCTGCTGAAGCTTGAGAGAAAGCAGTGCCACAAAATGTGCTTCTTCAGAAGAGCCAGCAGCCAGCCCTGCCTCACTCTCTGGGAGGAATGTTTGGTTCAAGAAGGCAAAAACTCCAGAGCTCAACAGTTACTAGCTGTTGAGAAACCTCTGTGTAATGTCCTGGCAACAGACATGCTTCCAGTTCCAGATGCAAGGCTGCTGCTGGCTAAGGGACTCTGCAACACAATCGTGAGATCAACAGGAGACCTGAGGTGACCCATTTGCCACAGGACAGGTGAGGATTACAGAGCAATGCTGCCTATCATGCTTAAGGGATTAGATGGTAACCAGGAGCTCCTTCCACTTTCCATGAAAGCAAGTGTTAGCTGTTCCCAGTAACTGGCTCTGCCCAGACCAAGAATTACATCCAGCTGTACCATAACAGGGAGGAATGTTTAGCCTTAATGTGCCCTCAGTCCTCCCTCAGCCCTGCAGAACACATTAATGCTGATAAAATACTCTATCTGAGAAGTGCTCCTGCTGTCTAATACACTTCTACATGATTCTAGGAAGAAAAAGAAAACCAGAATCAAAACCAAATCAAGCTGCACCCAGATTGCCAGAACAGCTGGAAGTCTGCTGTCTAAAAGGTAGGACAGTGTTGTTTTGCAGAAAGAAGAGAGGAGGATTACTTGATTCAAGCCACACCAGCTTTGGTCATTTCCACCTTTTTAGAGGAACAAAGAGTTGGAAGAGAAGGATTTCTTCCTCACTACTGCTCCCTGCCTTTCCAATAAGAGCATCTTAGAATGGTCATTGGTCCACTTTCCCTTTACAAAAACATACCAAGAACAAAGAAGAAATAGGTGTTGAACTACATGGTCACAGTGGATAGTAAGGGAATGCCACACTTAAACTGACCCATCACATTCCCCAACTTCCTTCTGGCAGTTAACGGTCCAGTTTTCAGTCCTTGCTTGTTTCCATGATTTCCTACTGGAGCTCTGTATATGCCAGCCAGAACCACCACCTTCCCGTGGGTCCTTCAGCACTGAGCAGGACAAGACAACCAGACTACAGGCAGACAAGCCAGGTGCTCACACACCACGTGGACTACTGTCCCAAAAACATGGCTCAGGGTTTCACTGTGGTGTGGTGTACTGGGAAGCACATCCAGAGCAGCCTGACAGCCCAAACCAGTGCAGTGCAGCAGACAGGATGGTTTACACTGGTTTAGGACTAGTGCAGGAGTTTTTTCCAAGACTGGCTTTAGGAGAACAGTCACAACTGTTTCCTTTTCTGAGATGAAGAGCTGGAAGGGAGACTTTCCTATTTTACTGCAGCACATGGGACAGGGAAGCAGAGCCTAAGACACCCTGTATCCTGCTAAAAACATCAGAAGATTTCCTCTAGAACCCAGTGGGAGTGAGCACATTCAGATCCCGAGGTTTGATATTGTGGGAACGTGGAGATTGTTTCCTCCCATCTGTGCCTGGAATGTCCATTTTGGGTGGCTTGAAGGTGACTGGATCCTCTGACATCCTGGTAGCCTGAGCACGCATCAGCTCCATTGGGGATGGCTTCTGGGCACCCTTATAGGATTGAATAGTAAATCCTCCTGGTGAAAAAAAAAAATCACAGTAAGAGCCAGGAAAACCAGTCAAGTCCTTTTCCTACTGCTGCCAGAGTGAGCAGCAGCACTGACACCCCACACCACAGGGAGCCGGAAAATTCCAGCAGCTCCATGTCATCTAAAGCCTATTCCACATCAGTGGCTGGCACTTCCACTTCCTGGTTGCATCACACATCAGAGAAAAAGTAAAATGCTGTCACCTTCACACCCTGCCCTTTCACTGCAGCACAGTGCAAGTTATTCCTAATTCCAGATCCTCAGCACAGGTTTTACCCAACTGCTTTATATTTAGGCATAGAAATTACACGAATAGCAAACATTCCCAAGGTGGTCCCAGAAAGCAACAAGGCAAGCAGGATAAGACTCTAGAAAAAGCTAGCAAGTTTGCTGTGTGATGGTTCTCCTTTAGCTCTTCCAAGGTAGCAGATTTTTGAGGACATACCTGGATCAGTGGTGGATTTCTGGATGGCTTTGGGTCCAAAAAAGCTCCACCTTTCAGATGGCAATTTGTCCCCACCAGCTTCCATGGCAAAGTCTGGGCCAGCGATAGAAGAAGAGGATCCCTGACTAAACCAAGCCCTAAGGAAAAAAAATCATTGAGGTGTATAAAACACAAGAATAAATACTTCAAGTGACCTCACTGTACCAGGAACTTCCCATGCAGTTAACAGGGGCAATTTAATGCATGCTCAAGTTCCACAGTCTTCCAACATTTGGATCTATCCAACACATATCCTCATCAGGCTCTGAATTTCAGCCCATACAGTCCCTCTCTGGATAAGGTTATTTAGCAGCTCCCACCTGAGCAGCCTGTAGGAAACCAAAGAAGGCAGTGGCCTGCCAGGCTCAGAGTACCTGTTTTTATGCTTGGGAGAGGAGTGGGGGCTGGTGCTTGGAGTGGACTGAGCAGAAGAATTGTGTTTGTCATCTTTTGTCATCTCTCCACTCTGCATTTTTAGCTTCTGTTAGGAAGAGAAACACAGAAGCAACAGGGCTTAAAAACAAGACACAAGGAACAACACCCAAAACCAGACAATTGTTTCTATCACAAGTGAAAGTGTCACTTTACAACCTAAAGTTACACCCAGTATTACAATACCTGCACGCACCCCTTAAGCTTCTCTCCACATCAAATATAAGCATTTTAGAAGTTCACTATGCTCAAGACACATCCTCCAGGCTAGAGGAAGGAACACCAGTACTCATAGGGAAGTTATGGATACAGCAGAGTTTGCTGCAGCTCAGCTACCTGGTTAACAGCTCTAACTGCCACAGCACCCATTTGTCTCCAGCACTTTTTAGAGCAACAAAGCTTTCAGTCCCACAAGTTCTCCTATGAGAGTGAGACCAGTTCTCACACAAGATACAAGGTCAGGAGTACCAGACCCTGTGAAGCAATTCATGTACACCAGGATGAAATCACTGCTCTGGAACAGAGATGAACTTGGGCACAAAATAAACAGGAACTGGGTGCATGCAAACCAGGTTGTTTCAAGCTGAACAGTACAAACTGAACTTTGAAGAAGTCACTTGAAGGGCAGTTACAGTTCAAACACAAAATGCACAGGCACCTGGTAATGTC